GATGATAGATATGGAGATAGATGAATGGATGGATGGATAGATAGATGATAGATGGGTGATAGATAAACAGACTTGGAGAGATAAATGGATAAATAGATAGATGACAGACAGATTGATGGATAGAAACCTATGATTATATCTGTATAGGGAGCTCCTAGGTGAGGAAGCTCCCTCCACCTATGCAGGGTAGCTCCTTCTCTGCAATTTATAGTTTCAATTGGAGAATTGCTTAGACAACTGAAAAGTTAAGTGACTTGCCCAGGTCACATGGCCAGAATGTATCAGAAGCAGAATTAGAAACCAGATTTTCCTAGCTTGGAAGCCAATTCTGTATTATATCTCACTGCCTCTCTCTAATGTGTATGAAGGTGCAATACTCTGTAATAAATAATACAAATAATAAATTAAAATTTGATTAATAAAATAATAATTCATAAAATAATAAAAAGTTGATGCACTAAATATATGGAACTGGAGGCAGCTAAGTGGCGCTACAGTAGGTAGAGCACTGGACCTGGAGTCAGGAAGACCTGAGTTCAAATCTAGCCTCAGACACTTACCAGCTGTGGACACTGGGCAAGTTATTTCATCTCTATCTGCCTCAGTTTCCTCAGATGTAAAATGATAATAATACCACCTACTTCCCAGGGTTGTTATGAGGATCAAATGATTGTTTCTTTCCTTCTTAAATTTATGTATATCAACACCAAATATATTTCAATGAAGTCATTTAAAAATTAATTATAGAGCATATTGTGTGACCTTGACTCACATCTATGTGTGAGCCAGATTTGTAAAAGAAGGCCCCTGTTTACAGGGATTCTGCACTTAGAAGAGCAGTTATGAATCGGCTTGTGCTCATGCCCCCAGTTAGCATACAACTTTAACCACAGGCTTGGGGGGAGCTCCCAGCCCTGCCCTAGGAAATACCCTTCTCTTCTGCAAGGCTCCCATGACACCCTCATTCTGCGAACCGAGCGCCCTCTGGCAACACAAAGTATTTATGAAAGGAAAAAAAAAACCCAGACATTTATTAAATACCTACTGTCTGTGCCAAGTGCTTCACAAATATGATTCATTTGGTCTTCATGACACCCTGGGAGGCAGGTGCTCTTATGATCCCCATTTTGCAATTGAGGAAACTGAGGCAGACAGAGATTGAGAGACTTGCTCAGGGTCACACAGCTAGTGAGTGTCTGAGGCTGAATTTGAATTCAGGTCTTCCTGACTCCAGGCCCAGCGCTCTATGCACTGTGGCACCTAGCTGTTATGAGAGGCAAATACAATTGATAAGAAGTAACATTAAATCCAGCCAATATATTCTTTAACAGAATAAATTTAAGCAAACATAAAAGAAAGTAAGGCCAGGGCTGGGAAGGACCTGCCCCTTCTTTCCTCTCTCCACCCCTGGGTGAGCCCGGCACCAGCCACCAACCTGGTCACACACTGCTGGGGGCCGACCACTGCCTCTCCCTGGTCTCCTCACCCTCTTCCTCCTGGAAGGTCTCCAAAACCCACCTAAAGTCCTGCAAGAGACCGTGGGCTCCCCAAGGCTGAGCTCACTGTTTGCTCCTCTCGTCCCAAACTAGGAAGAATGACCAAGCCCAGGGGGTTTGTGGCCTGCCAGCCCTTTGCCAGGGGGTGTTACAAGTGCTTTTTCAAAATGTGTAAAATCTAACTCTAACCCTCTAAGTCAGTGATCCCTGCAGTAGAACACGTTCAGAATCTTTTCTGGCGGAGTTCGGCCCTCTGAATGCAAGGGGGCTCCAGAGCTCTTCTGACTAGGTAAAGCCCTGGAGCTGTGCCCTGCTTGATAAGGAACCGGCTGGGCTTGGGGGTCCTTCCCCTTCAGCCTCAGCACAACCTGCCCGAGGGGCTCATGACAAAAAGGGGGTGATCTCGGACAGCAAACATGGGCTTCTCTAACTGTGCTGGCAAAAAGAGCTGCGTATAAAAATCATTGCTGATCTTTTCCATCTTTCATCCACTGTCTTCCTTAAAATGTCTTTGGGTGATGTTGCCTAGTTCGGTCTTTGACCGAGTTTTCTTTCTTTCTTTCTTCTCCCCCTCTATTGCTTTTCACCTATTTTATTCGGTGACACTGCTCATCATAGCGTATCATCCTTCTATGTAAGATTTAACAGATGAGTATCAGTGTTGTCTTGGGGCATGCTTGGCAAGGAGACCACGTCTGCAGACGAGAGCAATTTCTAGGCTCTGGGTCTCTGCATTGTGGCTCTTGATTTACATCATGGTTGGGAGGGGGCCACAGAAGCTGCCTCGTCCAGCTTGTGCAGGGTTCCCTGGATGCATTACTGACTGATCGGTGGTCATTCAGGCTGCCTGAAGACCTAGAGAGAGGAGGAGTGTCCCCTCCCCCCCATTCTATAGGAGACAGTGGGTCCGGCCTGAATCAGCCTTTCTGTAACTTTCACCTGGGGGTCCTGATCCTGCCCTGGGGCCAATCAGAAAAAATGTCTAATTCTTCTGAATAACCACCCTTCCAATATGTGAAGATAGCAATTATCATCAAAATAAGAATAGCTAGGATTCTTGTGGTATTTTGAGGTCTGTAGAGCTTTTTATAAATATCTCATTTGGTCCTCAGCAACACTCAGAGGTAGGTGCTGTAATCATTCCCATTGTACAGATGAAGAAACAGAGGCAGAGACATTAAGTCACTCGCCCAGTATTATAGCTAATAAGGGTTGGAGGCAGAAATGAACTCTCATTCCTGACTCCCGGCCAGGCACTCTGGATGCTGCAGCACCACCTAGTGGCCTGACGTGCTCTTTATCCGCATACTTCTCTAGGCTAAATGTCCTTTCTCCTTCAAGCAGTCCTGAAGCGTGTTAGTCTTTGGTCTTCTCCCTCCCCCTTCCGCATTTCTCTCTCTTCCCCACCCCCACCGGTGCTCTCTTCTGCTTATAGTCTTGCTTCTCCGTGTTCTAAAATATGACGGACACTCAGAGTTCAGCCCAGTCCTCCAGGTGTAGATGACCATCATAGAGACCATTCCCCTCCCTCCTGTGCATCATTTATGTCTCTAAGTGACAGCATAGAGCCAAAAACAGTGAGAGTTGTTCTAACAGGGACTGAAGATTCCGTCTCAGAGCGTGCTTATCTGAAGCCTTTAGACGGCAGATGGAAAAGAGATGCGTTGGTAATGTTGAAAGTCACTGAGTGTGGAAATCAAGTGAAAATCAGTGGGTCTCTGTTCATTGCCGCTCTCCTTTCAATGGGCAGTTAGTTACTTAATAAGAGCATTTCAGTTGTTTGGGAGGTTTTCCAAACCACCTTGAACAGCGGGACACAATGAAAAGAGTATCAGATGTGGAGTCAAGAGAGTTGAGTTCGAATCCTCATCTTGACCCTCACTACTTGTGTGACCTTGGGCAAGGCAATGAATTTCCTTGGGACATAGACTGCTCACAAGGAGAATGAATCACCTGGACCTCGGTTTCCTTTCAGCTCTCCCTCCTTCGACTTGGATAAGAAGCATCCAAAGAGTGCTCATTTTTTCACCAAACTTTGTTTTCAGTGCTTGATGAACGATTCTTTTTTTATCTCTGTTCTGTTCATTTGCTTTGTTAAAAGTAACTTTGTCTTGTCTTTTTTTTTTTTTTTCCTAGGGACTTCTTTCCAAGTATGTTGACATTGCATTAAATTCACTTGAGACCTCCTAGGAGTCTTTCTCTCTAAAAATGCCTCATTAGGCTCACCCACAGCCATTGGGCACATTTGTAAGAGGGTTCCCGAGACATATTTCCCCATCCTTTTCAGGGACATCCTTACCTTCATGACATTTACATGACACAACCATGATAATCATGTAATAATAAATAGATCTTTTAATATAATAATGATAGCTGACAGTGCTTTGAGGCTGGCAAAGTGCTTTATGTGCATCATTTAATATTTCAATATATTTGTTTAGACAGCATAGCATAGCACGTAGAGAAGTGACCTCACAGGGTTCTAGTCCTGCCTTTGACACACACTGGCTGCATGAGCCTGGCCGAGTTATTTGGCCACTCAGCCGTCTGGGCAAGTCTCTAAGACTTTGAGTTGAGGAGAAAGGGCTGAGCTACGTTGGCAGAGTGAGTTTCTTCAATAGGAGTTCCCAATTCTAATGAAATCAGAGTTGTGGTCCCTATGCCCATCCCTCTAAGTGTGCTAGCCTTCAGTTAATGAGAAAATTTGGTGAACTAACACACTGCATTCCCATCTGTCTTGGTTAACCTCAAAATATCCTGACTGCATGAGAAGGGTAGGCTACAACAGAAGGTTTCGTCCACCATGTCAAGCAGCAATGAAATTCACCTCTATCACTGGTGGTTAGATAAGTGGATGTAACGTCATAAGTTGAAAATGCAGATTAATGAATAATCTTGTTTGATCCTTTGGAAGATCTCCAGTTTAAGAAAGAAGTGCCCAAAATCTTAACGAAAGAAGAATTAGATGCCAAAGTGGACATCTACCTCTCGGAGACGGAAACCCTGTGGTTCTTTAATCTCCCAACAGTCGTGCATTCTATAGAGTCTGAAGAAGCTGAGAAAATAAAGTACGTCAGCATCTGTTCCCTCTTTTTGTTATTTAAATGCCGTGTTATTAAAAATATAGGTAGCTGTCAAATTGAATCAAGTGCTAACTTTGTTTTGAGGATGAGTTTTTATTCATATTCTTTTTTCTGTGTACCTGGTACACTTTTTCCCTCAAAAATTGTGTTGGTTTTTTTTTTTTCAGTTATAAAATTTGTTTCTGCTAGTGGGGTGGGGTGAGATGTCAGTAAGGTGTCAGGGGCTTTTGGTTCTGAAAATAAAAGGTGAATCGAGAAAGTTACTGTTTGGGAAGGGACTGGATTGAATGCCTGGGAAATCACCTATTCTTTATATGGTTCGGTGGATCCAGGGCCTGGAGTCAAGAAGACTTGAATTCAATTCCACCAGTCTCAGACACAGACTAGCTGTGTGATCTTGGGCCAGTCATTTTACCCCATATGCCTCAGTGTCCTCATCTGTAAAATGGAGACAAATAATAGTATCTCTCTTACAGGGCTATTGTGAGGATCAAAAGAGATAATGTTTGTAAAGTGCTTTGTAAACTTTAAAACACTATATAATGCTATTATTATTATTATTATTTTTATATCCACTAGGACACCGAAGTGAACTGAGACAGTTTCCCATATAGCAGTAGCACTGAAGCTATAATGTTGTCATTTACTTTAATTTCACCCTCAGTAAATTGATTTTTAGAGCATTATCTTCTCCCAAGTAAAATAAATTGTAGAAACAGCATAATTATTAAAACTTAATGTCAGTATGGACCTCTGTGAGGTATGATGTTTATTCACATATCCTCCTTCCCCAAAATCTAAAATATCTGTGTCAAGGAAACCCTGTTGGTAGATAGGTGTAGCAGAAGCTCAATGAAGCTGGTGGGGGTAGCGTTTCTGGAGGGTTAGAGTGAGTCTTTATTCTGGGAAAGAATGGCTGGAGGATATAGGCCTAAGAAAAACAGAGCAGTAACAGGTGACACAGGTGACGTGATTGTGGCTACCATGTTATTAACCAGCAGGATTCACCTTGTTTTTCAAAGGGAACGGAACATGCTCTATGAGACTCTTTGTAAAAATCGAGCTGGCAACGACTTATATGTTGAAAGGGTGATGCAGACTTTTAATGGTGCACCCAAGCACAAGGAAGTTCAGTGTGATAAAATCCTAACAGAAGAGAAAGGTAATTGATGGATTTGTTATCTCTGATGGAAGACCAGGTTCCATAATGACTGAGCATGCCCCTGAGCCACCTCAGCAGTCCTTCAGTGGGCACCCAGCAGGTTGCTGGCTCTGTTAGGGATGGGGACGAGAAAGAATGAAGTAGCTAGAACAGAGTGTGTATGTGTGTGTATCTATGTGTGTACATATGTATGACAATGTATATACCTATATGTATGTGTGTGTGTGTGTGTGTGTGTGTATGTGTGTATATGATGTGCTGTAGAAATGCCAGGAGGGAAGGGATCCATTTGGATTAGAATCATCAAAGAGAGCTTCCTAGAGAAGGGGAATGTTGAATTCAGATTGGAAGAAGAGATAAGATTTGGAAAGTTGGAGGAGAAAGAGGCAGGCATTCCAGAGAGGAGAGAATGGGCATGAAGGACAGTGAGGAGCGAGGGCGCTCTCCTTAGAGCAGAGGAGCCACATGGAGGAGGAAGAGGAGGAGGAGGAAATAAAGTGAGATAGGGAAGGGAGCATCTGATTATGGATGGTCTTGAATGCCAAAACAAGCAGTTGAAAATTATCAATTTTTATTACACGTGATTCATGTAAGTAGATTGATTTAAGAAAACCAAAATCAACGATCTTTAAATTATTAAGATGATGGCACACTTTGTGGCCTCTAGATTAAGGAAACTTTGATTCCACATTCATTCCTATCACTGAAAAATCATGCCTTGCCCCAATTATGTTGATGGTTCTTCCTCAGCCTTTATTCTTGCAGGCATTGCTAACGCCGCCCAGGAAGCCCTGGAGTGTCCTGGACTAGGCGAGGACATTGGGGTTGAGATTTTTAGTCACCAGCATCTTTTTTCTCTTTCTCTCTGGCTGTCTAGGCATAATGTCCACCACTTGGGCTTTGTATGATGCTTATGATGCCTTGGAATTTTCTGCTTCAACAACGAAACTGGAAACAGGGAAGTCAGGAAGTATGCCAGAGGTGGTGAGGAAAGACCAGGACTCCAGATATCTGAGCACTACAGACAGAAGTATGTTCCAGTTTGCTTTTGTTCGTGACCTTTTCCATATGCTTTTTAAAATCAATTTTGTGCAAAACACAAAACTCTTGAGAAATCACACTGTTGATGCACTATATAGTCATATTAGATCTTGGACTATAGTTTTTAGAAATGCAAATCATCAATTTTTGTCCCTTTCCCCTAAAAGTACATCAATACAGTTTTCAAAATATCTCACTTAGGAGGAATATTGGATCACGTCACCTATTTAAAGAGCAGAAGACTTTGCACATAAGACTTATCAAATGATGATTAACACTGTGCCTGTCACATAGTAGGTGTTTAATAAATGTTTATTGATTGATCGATGAAAGAACTGATGGTGACTACATTTGGGAAAATTACTTTGTAAACAGAGATCCTTTAAAGCATTAGGTATTGACATACTAAGGCATTAGTTAGAATTTGATTCAGGATCAATGGAATGTTAAGAAATGTCCATAAAGTTTCAGTATCGTGAAAAGCTCATGTTTGCTAAATATCCACAGTTGTATTTCCATTAGTTTGTTCATCTATTTTCTTTTAAAACCTTTCAGCGCCAGATTCTTCTACGATTGATATACTATACTCATAATGAACCTTTTGTGGCTTCATGCTCACAAAATAGTATTGTTGCATGATAGATCACTTACAATATGGAACAGTTATTAGAAGGTTGGGGAGGGGGTGGGAGGGAGCTCCTCAGGGGAGAGGGCACCTTACCCAATTCGCGGGATGTATCTGAATGCATTGAAAAGATAGTGCTTAAATTTGGAACTATCCCCAAAGGACTATAAAACTGTGTATATCCTTTGACCCAGCAATAGGTCTGTATCCCAAAGACATCCAAAAAAAGGGAAAAGGACCCACATGTACAAAAATATTTATAGCAATTCTCTTTGTGGTGGCCAAGAATTGGAAATTGAGGGGATACCCATCAATTGGGGAATGGCTGAACAAGTTGTGGTATATGAATGTAATGGTATACTATTGTTCAATAAGAGATGTTGAGGGGCAGCTCGGTGGTGCAGTAGATAGAGCACTAGCCCTGAAGTCAGGATGACCTGAGTTCAAATCCGACCTCAGACCAAACATTTCACACTTACTAGCTGTGTGACCCTGGGCAAGTCACTTAACCCCAATTGCCTGAAAAAAAAAAAAAGAAATGTTGAGCAGGCAGACATCAGAAAAACCTGGAAAGACTTCTATGAACTGATGCTGAGTGAAGTGAGCAGAACCAGGAGAACATTGTACACAGTAACAGCAACACTGTGCAATGATCAACTTTGATAGACATAGTTCTTCTAAGACAATTCCAAAAGACTCATGGTAGAAAATGCTGTCCACATCCAAAGAAAGAACTATGGAGTTTGAATGCAGATCGAAGCGTACTATTTTTCCTTTTTCCTTTTTTCTTCTTTTTTTTGTGGATTTTCCCTTTGGTTCTAATTCTTCTTTACAACATGACTAATGAGACAATATGTTTAATATGATTGTACACGTATGGCCTATATCAGAATGCATGCCATCATGGGGGGAGAGAGGAAGGAGGGGGAGAAACTTTAAAACTCAAAATCTTGTGAAGGTGAATGTTTAAAACTAAAAATAAATGTTAAAAAAAAAGAAAAGATAACGTTCAACAAGATGAATCTTTGGCATCTTCCTGATGGTGCTCGGTTTTTGATGTGGTATATCATATCATATTGATTAAGCTGTTGGCAAAGGCTTGTCTCAATGCCGTCCTTGAATACCAGTGTGGAGAAGGGAAGATTAGATAAGTGGACAAATGGGATAAAAATTTGCTGAGCGCTTACTACGTACTAAGCACTGGAGATGCAGATAGAAAAGCCAGGCAGCCCCTCCTCTCCAGGAGCTCACATTCTAACAGGGCAGACAACATGGACTGAAGGTTGGGCTGCAGGGTCAGATGGAAAGGTCCCATGGTCCTTAGGCAGCAAAGAGAGGGCCACGTCTCTTCTTGATGCCGTTTCTACTTCCTGTCAGTTTCTGATGCTAAACCGTTTGACAGAGACAAGGACTTTGGTGGGAAGAACTTTGATCTGCAGTGCTGCCAGACCTCTAGGAGAGTTGCCAGGTGGCATCTCCCCGGGGGCTGCTTCCCTGGGTAATGGTCGAGGGCGCTTGGTTGAAGCGGTGCTGTTCTTAAGGCTCTTGGGCTGACTCTGTCAGGGTCTGATGGTGGTCAGGGTGCTCTGATAGTCTGCGACTTGCTGCCTGCCATCTGTCCCTCAAGGGAGAGATTCAAAATATTCAAAACATATTCAGAATAACCAGTTGGGAAGATGGTGAGCTAATATGAGGTTCAGGATGTGGCAGGGCATGTAAGTCTCCTTTCTTTTGTATTCCGAGTTACTTTATAATGGTCTGACCTGGATTACAGGTAGCCACTCTCAACATCTCTTAATTTTCAAGGGTCTTTAGTAGGTAAAACCAGAGATATAGAAAGTAATGGGTACAGCTCTCCTGAGAGTAAATGCTTAGTTTCCTAAGTTGGGTTTGTTTTTTGATCACATCCATGTATCATCCTCCCCATTTTATGTAACATTATATTGGCAAAATGCGAGGGATAGGGATCGTTAGTGTCCCTCTGATTTAATGAGAGTGGGGAGCTCTCAGATGAGGAAGTTCCCTCTACCAGAGCAGGTCGGCCCCTTCTCTCCAAGAGTCTTAGAGTGTTCCTGGGGCCTCGAGAGGGGCTGTGACTTACCCACAGTCACCCAGATATTTATTTCTACAGATGAATTCTAAACCAAAATGACCCAGGCAGAGTTTTATTCCGGGCAAGTCTAGATCCTTTGGAGCCAGTAACAGATATCACTTATCCTCGCACACTCTTTCCCCTCCTAGAGTCAAATAAAAAAGAGAGAGATGAAGAAAACAGCAGAAAATAAAAATGACAACACAATCAGAGAAACTCTGCCTTCTTCCTTCAGTTTTGGGTTTCCCTCGCTGTTCTCACTCATAGCTGTAATCCATTCCCGTACCCCCACCCCAAACACATACTCCTCAAAGAAATGAAGAAAATGAGTTACTCCCTCCCTCACCAAAGAGGGAGACCTTGCCATGGAGACCACACATTCTTGCTTTTTTATTCTCTTGATAATATTCTTTTCCTATCCCTTACACACATGGTGGCTGGAGAGATGGAGTCAGAAAGAGTTCAAATCCTGTCCCAGCTCATTCCTGGCTCAGTGATGTTGGGCAGCTCACTTATTCTCAGCCTCAGTTTCTTTATATGTAAAATGGGGCAGTAGGGTACTGGGTTGCCTCTGGGCTCCCTTCCAGCCCCACATCTCAGAGGCCAGGCAGTCTAGTTTCTCCTTGGGGAATAAACAGAGGATGAGGGTGGTTTATGAATGCTCTCTCAGTAGTTGGTTTTCCCTTTTGTCAAACTCCGTGGTCGTTGGTTTCTTTTTGAAAGTTTTCCTCCCCAACAGACAATATTTTATCAATATTCTAATCTCTTAAAATTCTCTGCCACAGTTTTCCACTAGACTGTTACCAATACTACCTCTGCCTCAGGAAGCACCTTCTGGGCATGGCCAACTCCCTTCATAACCAACATCCTTTTAAAAATGAATGATATTTTATTTTCCCCAATTATATATAAAAACAATTTAAACATTCATTTTAAAGAAAATGTTCATTTTGAACTTAAATAGAAAAAAGACAAAAAAAGCCTTTCCATGTACACAGCACAACATAAAAAGATTCAGTATAAAGACATGAATTTCCATTTCACACTGTTGACTTTTTTTGAAGAACTATGTAATAAATACTACACATTTTCAAAGCTACCCTGCTTTTCTATGCTTCCTTCTAAGTTGTTCTCTGCTGTGCATATTTAATTTTTTTCTCCCTCTCTCCCTACCCCACACTAGAACAGGCCATTTGACACAGATTAATAAATATATGTGAACCTATACTATATATACTTCTTTTTATCAGTTCTTTCTCTGGAGGTGGATAGCATCTTCCTTCATATGTCCTTTGTAGTTGATTTGAGTGTTTATAATACTCAAAATGACTTAGTTATTCAAAGTTATTCTTAGAACAATATTATTGTTACCGTATGCAACATTCTCTTGGTTCTGCTCATTTCACTCTCCATTATTTCATGCAAATCTTTCCATGTTTTTCTAACATCAACCGTCTCATCATTTCTTATAGCACAGTAGTATTCCATTACAATCATATACCACAACTTGTTTAGTCATTACTCAATTGACAGGTATCCCTACAGTTTCCATTTCTTTGCTACCACAGAGAGAATAGCCATAAATATTTTAGAACATATAAATTCTTTTCCTATTCCCCCGATCAACTTGGGAGAGATTTAGTAGTGGTATTGTTGGTTCAAAGAGTATAGGCAGTTTAATAACTCTTTGGGCATAATTCTAGATTGCTCTCCAAAATGGTTAGATAAGTTCACAATACTACCAACAATGAATGAATGTCCCAATCTGTCCACATTCCTTCCAACATTTATTGTTTTCTCCTTCTGTCATTTTAGTCAATCTGATAGATGTGAGATGATATCTCAAAGCTGTTTTAATTTGCATTTCTCTAATCAATAGTGATTTAGAGCGTCCTTTCATATGACTATATATAGTTTTGATTTCTTCATCGAAAAATTGCCTGTTCGTATCCTTTGACCTTTTATGAATTGGAGAATGACTCATATTCTCATAAATTTGACAAAGTTCTTTATATATTTTAGATGTGAAACCTTTATCTGAGAAACTGTCTATAAAATTTTTCTCCTAATTTTCTGTTTTCCTTCTAATCATGTCTATATTGATTTTATTTGTACAAACCCTTTTTAATTTAATGTAAACAAAATTATCCATTTTACACCTCACAATGCTCCCTACCTCTTATTTATCCATAAATTGTTCTCCTATCCATAAGTCTGATAGGTAATATATTCCATGTTCTTCTAATTTTCTTATGATATCTCCCTTTACATC